ACTTGTACGGTCTCTCTCCCTTCTGGGCCCTGCACTGGGAGATGAGGCTGGAGAAGTCCTTGCAGGTCTCCCCGCCGTCTGGGCACGTGTGGGGTCGTTCTCCCGGGGGATTTCTTTGGTGACGTCTCATGCTGTTACTCCCGTGGAAGATCTTCCCACCCTGGGGGCATTTAGAGGTCCCCCGCGTGGCGCGGGCCACCGGCTTGCTGGTGGCTGGGTGGGTGTTCTTCCCGCCATCCCCTTGTCCCGGCGCTGTCTGCTCCTCCTTGCTCTCCAACTCCTCCTCCAGCACCGGGGGTGCTTGTCCTGGCTCCAGCTGGGTGCTCGGTGCCTGCAGGAGAAATCCATTGCACTCAGCCATCGCCACCCACCGCTCCCCCAGGGCTGGGACATCCCACGCTAAACCCCCCCAAGGACTCACCATGGTGAAGGGCTGCCTGATGGCTCCTGAGGTCACTTAAGTGCTGGAAGGTCATCTCACACAGTGAGCAGCTGTACGGACTCTCTCCGGTGTGGATGCAGTTATGGGTGATGATGTTCAACTCAGAGAAGTTTTTCCCACACATGGTGCAGATAAAGGGCTTCTCCTTGGTGTGTGTCCTCTGGTGACACAGATGTTTCCAGCTATCCCTGAAGCTCTTCCCACAATCCTGGCACTTGTAGGACCTCTCTCCCGTGTGTTTCCGTTGGTGACGTTTCAGGTCCCTCCCCAAGGGATAGACCTTCCCACAGTACTCACACATGTACTTCTTGGCTATAAAGCTACTCGGTGTTTGACATGCGACTTCTTGAGTATCTGCAGCACACGTCCCTGTGAAAGAGCATTTTGGTGTTCTCTTGGTAACTCATGCTTTCCCCATCCTCTTTTTCTTCCTCCTACTCTATCCCTCCACCATCCCTCCTCCTTCTTCACCCAGGACCAGCACCCACCCCTCATTCCCAATTTCACATGCCCAAAGCTCTCCCCACCCCCCAGGAGTGCCGGGGATGGAGCTGGGGCAGGTCGGGATGGGGCAGGGTTGGGCTCTTGCCTGCTCCCACCCTCTGCGGGTGAACCCGGGAGGGGGAAAGGTGAGAAAACCCATGAGTGGAGGGAAAAGTAATTTACCAGGAGGAGTCAGGAGGAGCCATCACTCACCCCGCCCATGGGGACATGGATGCCCAGCCAGGTCCGGACCAAATTCTGGCCCAACCAGCCCCCAAACCCCCTCCTCTCCATTTCAGAACTGAGCACAACTTGATGTGGGGTTAAGCCCCCCCGGAGGTCTCACCAGAATGGACGGACCTCTGATGACTCCAGAGTTCAGAATTCTGCATGAACGTCATCTCGCAGTGCGAGCAGGGGAAGGTTGTCTCTCCTCTGTGAGTTCGTTTGTGTCTATTACGGTTTGATCTATCGGAGAAGCATTTCCCACACGTGGTGCAGAGAAAGGGCTTCGCCTTGGTGTGTATCCTCCGGTGACAACGGAGACTCCCACTTTCCCTGAAGCTCTTCCCACAATCCTGGCACTTGAAGGGCCTCTCTCCCGTGTGGGTCCGTTTGTGACGTATCAGGTTGGTTCCCCAGAAAAAGACCTTCCCACAGTACTCACACTTGTACTTTTTGTATCTGGAGCTACTCGGTGGTTGGGATGCGCCTTCTTGAGTATCTTCAGCACACGTCCCTGTGAAAGAGCATTTTTGTTGTTCCCTTTGTACCCCATACTTCCCCATCCTCTTCTTCCTCCTCCTCCTCTATGCCTCCCCCATCCCTCCTCCTCCTTCACCCTGGAGCAGCACCCACCCCTCATTCCAAATTTCAAATGCCCAAAACACTTCCCACCCCCCAGGAGGGCCGGGGATGGAGCTGGGGCAGGTCGGGATGGGGCAGGGTTGGGGGAAAAAAAAAAAAAAAGTGAGAAACCCCCTGCTTGGATGTAAGATGCCCTCCAGACCTGCCCATGGGGGGGTGGATGCCCTGGCAGTTCCTGACAAAATCCCAACCCCAAACCCCCTACTTTCCATTTTATTGCTGAGCATAACATATTATGGGATTAAGCCGCCATGAGGACTCACCATTGGGAAGGACTTCTTGATGCTTCCCAGGTTGATAATTCTGCTGGAAGCTCTTCCCACAGTGGGAGTCGTCGCACGGTGTCTCTCGTGTGTGGGTAAATTGGTGTTTGAGGAGGTTTGAGCAGCAGGAGAAGCGTTTCCCACTCGTGGTGCAGAGATACGACTTCTCCTCCTTGTGTCTGCTCTGGTGACACCGGAGTTTCCATCTGTGCGTGAAGCTCTTCCCACACTCCTGGCACTGGAAGGGCTTCTCTCCAGAGTGGGTCCATTGGTGACGTGTCCGGTTGCTGCTGGTAGAGAAGAACTTCCCACAGTGCTCACACCTGTACAGCTTCTCTGCGGAGCTACTCTGTGTTTCAGTTTCATCTTCTTGAGGGTCTTCAGCGTACGTCCCTTTGAAAGAGCATTTTCGGGGTTCCCCCGTTCCGCGGCTCCCTTGCGTATCACGGGGCTGCTGTTGGCCATCGTGCTCCACGGCCACCGTGGGGCTCTGGGGCTCCTCTTGGGGCCCTTGCAGCATCCCCCTCTGCTCTTCCCTGGGCTGGCACTGCTCCTCCTTCTGCTCCTCTGTCCCAGCGCCTGTGGGGGGCCAAAGGGGCTCAGCTGGGGGCTCTTAAGGCACATGAAGAGCA